GTGGTGTTATGTTTGACCTTCTATTATATTTATTATTTTTGGGAAATCTAAACCAAAAATCTCAAGAAAATTGTAAAATGTATTGCCAGCCTAATCTTGTATACACGATACCATTTTCTTACAATTTCCTGTCCAATTTCTGCTCAATTTTCTTTAGATTTACCATCAACTATGTGGTGCAAGGGCCTGCCTAATTGGATACAATTGAAAGTGTTTAGGTTTTTTGGTAAATCTAAACCAAAATCCTGAAGAAAATTGTATGATATATGGCCAGCCAAATCATACAATTTTCTTGAGAATTTTGCTTTAGATTTACCAAAAACGATATAATATGAGGTCAAACCTAAACAACACTTTCAATTGTATCCAATTAAGCAAGCCCTTGCACTACATAGTTGAAGGTAAATACAAAGGAAATTGGGCAGAAATTGAACAGAAAATTGTATAATGTATGGCCAGCCTTGGTCTGGCTGAAAAAGACAAAAGTCCATCCAATGGAAAATAGATAGTGCAGCGCTAAAAATAAAGTGCTAATTTATATATAACTGCACATGCAATAATAGTGATAACCCTGATATGGGGTGTATCTAGGTTGGCTCTCAGTGTTGTGAGCTATATAAAATAATGCAATCCACACACATGCTGTACAGTGAAATTTGTGACAAACACATGAATCGCTCTTTGTGAACGTGCTCCACACTGAGTGCAGACAAACGGGATGTCAATCCACAATGACAGGGGTGCCCCCTCACCTTCCTGCCCAGGCCCCTCAGGACCAATGAGCCAAAAACAGTACTTAGTAATTCCTCCACAGCCCGTCAGATCGTCCTCAGCAGCACTGAAACCGGACCCTCTCCATATACATTCCCAACAAGGCAAAGAAATCCAGCATAGTGTAAAACCATTTATTAGAATAAAACGCCAATACAAAAATTCCTACTCACATTTGGATAGTTGTAAAACAAACTTTTCCACCACACTATGGGTGTACTGCATGCATGGACTCTGTAGGGTGTAACAAGATGGCCCCCACGCCGGATGTGACGTCACCGTGACGCGGATATACCAGGTATATCCTGACGAAGTCACGTGGTCCAATCGTGACGTAACGCGTAGATACGTTCGTGGGAGGAGTTCGAGCGGTGACGCGGCCGACGCGGTGACGTCACATCCGGCGTGAGGGCCATCTTGTTACACCCTACAGAGTCCATGCATGCAGTACACCCATAGTGTGGTGGAAAAGTTTGTTTTACAACTATCCAAATGTGAGTAGGAATTTTTTGTATTGGCGTTTTATTCTAATAAATGGTTTTACACTATGCTGGATTTCTTTGCCTTGTTGGGAACGTATATGGAGAGGGTCCGGTTTCAGTGCTTATGAGAGGGTCCCATCACCACTGCTGAGGACGATCTGACGGGCTGTGGAGGAATTACTAAGTACTCTTTTTGGCTCATTGGTCCTGAGGGTCCTGGGCAGGAAGGTGAGGGGGCACCCCTGTCATTGTGGATTGACATCCCGTTTGTCTGCACTCAGTGTGGAGCACGTTCACAAAGAGCGATTCATGTGTTTGTCACAAATTTCACTGTACAGCATGTGTGTGGATTGCATTATTTTATATAGCTCACAACACTGAGAGCCAACCTAGATACACCCCATATCAGGGGTATCACTATTATTGCATGTGCATTTTATATATATATTAGCACTTTATTTTTAGCGCTGCACTATCTATTTTCCATTATATTGTATTTTGTGCCTTGGTTGTGGCATTTCAAGTGCTAGCTGCTTTAACGATAGGGGGTATAATAGCGCAGGAGGGTACACCATATATATACTAAAAGTCCATCCAGTTCACCTCACTCATCACACTTGGAGTATATTATTCTGCAAAGTGAACAGCCTATTTGCCTTTAATAAACTAAATCAAGTAACTCCGGCCAAAACTGTTTTATGTAAAAGTGGAAAATGAATTTATTCTGAAGAGGAAGCAGAGTTTTGGATGGAGTGGGATCGGGGTACAACCTATGTCCAGATGTCTTACTGTCTGCCTTCATTAATGGAAGATCTTCCACACTTTATCCAAAACCTTATATAAAAATGTATAAAAAGTAAAACCTTTTTTAAAAAAGTTGGATAGAGTAGAAAATGGTGAAAAGATTTCTTTTCACTTCCTATACTATAGACCAAGGGTCTCCAAACTATGGCCCTCCAGCTGTTGAAGTACTACAAGTTCCATCATGCCTCTGACTGGAAGTCTTGCCTGTGGCTGTCAAAGTTTTGCAAGGCCTCATGGGACTTGTAGTACATCAACATCTGGAGGGTCATAGTTTGGAGACCCCTGATCTAGACAACACGGGACATCTTTCAAAACGAATGGAAATCTACTCTTAAGCTGGCCATACATTTGTAGAACCTCACCAGAATATTGGGGGTTATTTACTAAATGCAAAATCTGGTGCAACTCCGCATCGTAACCAATCCGCTTCCAGGTTTTATTGCCTAAGCTTAAGGCTGCATTCACACTTGAGCATTTTGTAGCTTGAAACTCAAAGCTCCAAAGAAGCTCAAACTTTTCAAAAATCAATTGTTCTCTATGGTGCCTGTTCACACCTGATTGGGCAGACAGGCACCATAGAGAACAATTGATTTTTTTTAAGTTTGAGCTTTTTTGGAGCTTCGAACTACAAAACGCTCAAGTATGAATTCAGCCTAATTGAACAAGCTGAAGTTAGAAGCTGATTGGCTACCATGCAAAGCTGCACCAGATTCGGAGTGCTCCAGTTTTAGTAAATAGCCCCCCCCCCCATGTGTCCATTTCTGGAGACCTCACTTACAAAAAGATATTGATAAGATAGAACAAGTCCAGAGATGGGTAAAACAAATTGTGAAAGGTCTGGGAGATAAAAGATATCAAGAGCAACTTCAGGAACTTAATATGTGCAGTCTGTCTGGAGGAAAGAAGGGAAAGGGGACACATGATTGAAACCTTTAAACACATGAAAGGGGTGAATACGGCTCAGGAGGGCAGGATTTTCAATATAAAGCCAAGATCAAGAACACGGGACATGACCTTCAACTGGAGGAGGAAAGTTCAAAACTAACCTTAGAAAGTATTATTTTACTGAAAGGGTAGTTGATGCTTGAAAGAAACTCCCAAAAGAGACAGTGAGCCAGTCAACAGTAAATGGCTTAAACATGCTTGGGGCAAAAACAAAACAACCCCCCCTCCCAAAAAACAAACAAAAAAAACTGGTCAGACCTGATGGACACTCAGTGCTTTTCTACCCTCACTTCTCTAGGCAGTGAACCAGTCAACAGTAAATGGCTTCAAACATGCTTGAGACAGGCATAGATCTATACTCAGACAAAGAATGTTAACAAAAAAAAAAGAGAGAAAAAAAAAACACGAATAAAATTAAAAAGCTAGTTTAAATAAAAACAAAAAAAAACAGGCAGAGACACAATGGACCACTCAGACTTATTTCTTCTGACATTTTTCTATGTTTCTATTTAGAACTTAATTCAAAAATGTTGTGTTCTGAATTGTTTTTTAGTCTGACCATAAATGAATAGAATTCTGAACAAAAATTATTAAACAACTTTTTTATTAATCCAGGATTTATATCGCGCCAACAGTTTGCTCAGCATTTTACAATAGAAGGGAGACAATACCATTACAATACATTTCAGTACAGAAGGAATAGGAAGACTAGGAATAGGAACTCTGTACGAAAATTCTCAGAAAATGTGTTTGTCATTCGAAAGATTTAGTTATTTGATTTTATTTTTTTTTTCAAATTCTATTTTTATTTAAAACAACAGAACAGCAGAAGACACGTATCATGTATCCATATAAACATAAACAAAATACAGAAGAAAGGTATCAAAAGCGATACAAGCATGTGTAAATTCCAAGATAGTACAGGACAAAATGCCATCCCAAGGCAGTGTACAGGGCAACTCAGTGCACACACAAATGTCAAAACCCCCCTGCAGTTTAACCTCCCTGGTGGTATTCCCGAGTGTAGCTCGGGGTAAAATTTCAGTACCAAAAGCGGTAATCACGAGCTACACTCGGGCTTACCATGCGGCGCTGCATAGGGATTCCCTGCAGAGCTTACCTTGTCCTGCGCTCCCGAGATGTGTCCCCTGCAGCATCCCTGGCCATCTCCTCCTGCGGATGCCGGCATCCGGCTTCTGTGTTCCGGTCCCTGGGTGCTGGAAGCGGCGGGAAATTTGAAAATTTAAAAGTTTTTTTTTCCAAACAAATTTTACATAGTAAAACATTGCTGTTTCAACCCATTTCACATACATTTTGTCCCGAGTGCTTTGTCCGCGCCCTGCCTGCATTATTACTGTTCTTTCTTCCTGGAAACTTAGAAAAGTCCATGGCATCCAAAAAGCGTCCCTTTAGGTCAAAAGCGGGTTTAGACCGGCTAGAGAACAGTGATAGTAAATCAGAACCACTTGCAGAATTGAGTGATAATGATTCGTGGAGGAAATTCCTCATCAGACACTGAAAACGATTTTGCGACTTTGCTCAGCAATGTGTGAATTTGGCGCTCTATTTCACATTTCAGTGTTTTTGGTTTGATTATATTATTGAATTAAATGTATTATTATATTATTATTTTTTATGATTATTTATTAAATTATAATTTATTATTTTGTGTTTCAAATTTTATCATACCCGGGATGTTTTACTAGACTCTTGTTCGGACAGATTTCAGTGAGTTATTCCCAAAAATTACAGCAAAAAAAAAAGAGAGACAAAGAGATAGGAAAGAGCAATAAGTCAGAAAGCACAGGAGAGAAAGAGGAGGAGAGAGAAAGGGAAAGAGAGAGAGAGAGAAAAAAAGGCAGGAGCAAATTAGTCTGCTTGATTTTAAACCCCTTGCCCTTCAGAGGATTCCCCTCCCCCTTCCTGACCAGGCCATTTTTTGCAATACAGCACTGCGTTACTTTTACTGACAATTGCACGGTCATGCAACGCTGCACCCACATGAGGGGAACTGACTAATTGCCACTGACATCCCCAGTGACACCAATACAGTGATCAGTGTTAATAAAAAGCACTGACACTGTATTAATGGCACTGGGCAGGAAGGGGTTAACATCTGGGGCGATCAAAGGGTTAACTGTGCACCTTGTGTGTGTGCTTGTGTCAGCACATTGCTTTGTATGGTTCTGCTCTTGCAATACAAAGCAGTGTGCAGGAGCTGACAGGGAGAGATCTATATTTTTTGCATACAGACCTCTCCCCATCAGCGATACTTGGCGATCTCTGGGTGATGGTGGGGGAATCACTGGCCTGGGCCTGGTGGTCAACAGCTAAGGCCGGCACTGGTGGTGTGGTTAGGGCCTGCGTGCCCCCTACCTGGAATTGCAAATTCACGTAAGTCTTCAACCAGCCAGATCCATAGAGAGGGAGAAAAGCAGTTACGAGTTATCCCATCAACAACATTTATGACGTCCTGCCAGTATTGCATGACAGCCAGGCAGGACCAGAAGACGTGTGTGAGAATCCCCCAGTGAGTAGTTGTAGAGCACCCAGGCCAAGAGATTGAGGGAAGCCTCACGTGGAGCGTGTATAATGTGTCATCAGCTCTAAGTATCATTTTATATTGGATAAGTCATCCTTTATGGAGACTAAATGCATGGAAGGAAGGTCCCACATGTCCCTCCAATCATCAGTGTCTAGGTCCATAATGTCCATCAGCCACTTCTGCATGATTGAGGACAGGTCAGGAACTGCTAGCAGGGTGAGATGGCTGTAGACAGTCCAGGTGGGTTTCTCAAAGCATGTCGTCCTGAGTCACTGTTCAAGATTGGATGGGATTTTTGTGGAAACTGAGACCCGAGAGCATGGGACAACTACAGGAATCAAAGGAGACATGAAGCTGGGGGGTTTACATGTGAGGAGAGGTTAAAAAAAACAATAAAAGGGCTCAGTTTTTGACAATATGTGACAAGGTTTTAATATTACACTTGTATGTGGTTGTTTGTCCCATTTTTCTCATCATGTGTCCTAGGCATTAGGAATTTGTTTGTTCAAGAAAAATTTCCATCCCGCTCCTTCAAATTTTCTCATCACTGCGGTCAAAAATGAACATCAATTTGTCCCCACTAATGATTAGAAAAACAAATGAACTTTAGAACCTTCTTTTCCCAAGAATTGTCATTTAAATTCTACCCCTCTATGGCTAGTTTTAGTGGGGTGAATCAATATTTGTTTTGACTGCAGTGACTACAAAATTGGAAGGAGCAGGATGGAAAATGTTTAAAAAAAAAATCTTATTTCTAACAGTGTATGTGTTTTTTTTTTTTTTCAGGAAAATGTATTAATTCCAAAATCAACTATTAAAAGCAAAAGAAATGTTGAAGTATCTTTGAATGGCATTCTTCAACATATTGAATGTATCAAACGAATGTTCATACAAACATTAGTTTGAAAATCTACTAGAGTACGGCCAGCTTTAGACAGTTGTCATTAGAATAGCTTGTCCCATTGGATGATGATTTCCGTCTGTACCTGTCCAGGTGACAATTTAACATTTTGGGATTTTTTTTTTACCTTCATTCTTGATTAGAAAGTATTTATGGCCACATATCTAAAATGAAAATAAATATATAAAAAGTAAAAAAAATCTTTATTTTGTATTGAAAAAAAGATAATCTTCAATTAAAATTGCATAAACATTAATGAGTCGCACTTAAAAGAACCCTTTTTGAAAGCTATGGTAGCCCACAGGTATAGAATGTTGTATCAAAAATCTTTTTAAAATAAGGTTGTCCCTGGACAGTCAGGAGCAGAGAAGTATGGTAGAAAAAAAAAACTTCCTTGGAGAATTTTCAAAAAGCTTTGAACAGTTCCTAAATGTAATATCAAAAGGTGCAAGGACACCATTAATGGAGTTTCGGTGTTATATTTCACACCACATGGTAAGATAATAGTCCACATCTCTTAGATGTAGTATCTCTAAAGGATCCTGTCTTGTCCTGGAGAGTTTTCATAACCTCTTCATTTTTCATATGGAGGCTAGCATGCAAAAAAAAAAAACAACAGACAATCATTTGTCCAATATTCTCATTGTGTGTTCGGGGCTTTGGAGGTGCTGGGGTCTACAGGGAACAACAGGTACTTAGTCTGATTGACCTGGAGACTCCCAAGTTTTGTTAAAAGACTTGTAAGCCTTGCAGGGCTCCTTGAAGGGAAAGGCCCAGGTCATTTAGGAAGAGCAGGAAATAGTCCGCATACAGGACCTCCAGCCAACCAATCAAATGACTCCTAATGTTGAGCGAGACATGAGGTGCCTCCACAACAGGCTCCATGTCCATAGCAAGCAGGGCCAGAAAGAGTTTGGGGCATTGTAGAATCAACTTCAAATTTACCAAAACTCTATAATGTTAGGACCTACCTAATCTATCCATTCAATTTGTATCCAATCAGGCAAGCCCCTTGCACTACATAGTTGTTAGTAGATCTAAAGAAGATAGTACAATCAGATACAAATGTGTTGAGGTGTAATGTCAGTATTCTCAGTTTACCATTTACACAAGAACATGGAATATTGATGGCTAATTTGACAATTCTGACACCATTCCTGTGATCAGTTCCATGACTTTTATGAAAGTGACTTTCCATAATGTGCCTTGAGGAGTCTCACTTCTCAGCCTGAATCTTGTTTACAGTAATTAGTACATGCCAGAAGTCTAAAGTAATTCATCAAAACCCCAATGTTCTCCTGATGTATCCCATCAGGGCACAACGCACACTCCTCCCCCTCCATGAATGGTCTTCACTCCCTGTGTGCCTCCAACCTTCATTTACAACTCAACAGCCCCAACCATGGTGAGGGAGGCCTGGAGCCTTGTTCATAAACAGTGCCTGTTATGCAGATTGCCATGTATCTCAATGTGTGCTACCATCACAACATCCCATTGTCAGGAGAGGAGATCCCAGGAATTCAAAATACAAATAATTCACCCGCAGGAATTTTTATAAAGGTGGAAATTGACTGATGGACATAAGTATTCTACGCTGAGCCCCCCAGAAAGGAGTTATTATCTCTAGATGAACATAGAAGGCCTATAAGTTAGTATGGAATTCAGGCTAGATCAGTCCCCACCCCACCTGCTCAAGACAAACAATCCCTTCCCCTTCCGCTCCCCCTTACTCCCCCCCCCTTTTTTTTTTCTTCTTTCCTCTCCCACTAGGTATACCTCTACTCAATGTGTACAATCATCACAACATCTGATTGTCAGGAGAGAAGATCCCAGGTATTCAAAATACAAATAATACACCTGCAGGAATCTTTATAAATGTGGAAATTGATATTTTATTTCATTATTTATTAATTAATTTTTTAATTATTTTATGACAAATCTCATGAATTTAATATGTGCTTTCCCCTTATAGATTGTGAGCAATATAGACTTCAATGTGTGAAGACAACTCAGTAGTATATATACCATACAGGAGAATAATAGTTCATCTCACCGCTAACCAATAGAAATGTCAGGAAATCGTTACTAAGCTATCAATGTCCAAATCATATAAAGGGATCTGTGAACTTTTCAGTACGAGGGCCAATATCTGCGGGCTAAAAAATATATGAGTTACAAGAGAATGAATATGTTTTCCTTTGACTATTTTTTTGTAATTGGCACAATATGATTCACAACAGAGAAAGAACTTCACTAAAGCAAAGCAAAGACATTTCAACTAAACCTGAGCCATTAATAAAGGTCAAACAAAAATACACCCATTCTGCACTTTTCTCATCAAAGTCCCCTTTGCATCAGGGTCCCCATCTGAGTTTCTTTTACATCCGGGTCCCCATCAGAGCCCCCTCTTATATCGAAGTTCCCATCAGAGTCCCCCCGCTTTCATCAGGGTCCCCATCAAAGCCCTTCTTGTATCAAAGTCGCTATTAGAGCCCCCATCAGATTCCCCTCTTAATCCCCATCAGAGTCTCCTCTTACATCAAAGTCCCCATCAGGGTCCCCTCTTACATTAGAGCCCCCATCAGAGTTTCCCCTTACACCAGGGTACCCATCAAAATTTCCCCTTACACCAGGGTCCCTATCAGAGTTTTCCCTTACATCAGGGTTCCCTCAGAGTTCCTTTTACATCAGTGTCCTCATCAGAGTCCCCTCTCTCATCAGAGCCCCCTCTTACATGAAATTTTCCATCAGAGTCCCCCCTTACATCAGGGTCCCCATCAGAGCCCCATCTTACATCAGGGTCCCCATCAGAGTTTTCCCATACATCAGGGTTCCCTCAGAGTTCCTTTTTCAACAGGGTCCTCATCAGAGTCCCCTCTCACTTCAGGGTCCCCATCAGATTCCCTTCTTACATTACATTTTCCATCAGATTCCCCCTTTCATCAGGGTCCCCATCATAGACCCCTTATATCAAAGTCCCTATTAGAGCCCCCATCAGATTCCCACTTAGTCCCCATCCGTGTCCCCTCTTACATCAAAGTCCCCAACAGAGTCCCCTCTTACATTAGGGCCCCCATCATAGCCACTTTTACATCAGTGTCCATCAGAATGGCCCCTCACAGAGCAGTCCCCCCTTACATCAGGGACCCCATCAGAGCAGAGACTGTGCACATCCGCTGTGGGTCAGATAACATCTTGTAGCCAGCATCATGTGGCCCGCGGGCCGTGGTTTGGAGACCCCTGATATAAAGTAATATCGTGAAGTACATTTTATATCTCTGCAGAATACACTATTTATCCACTACATTAACTTCAATATATAATTAGTAACAACAATCCCAAGAAATAATGTATTATATATGTACAAAAACTCAAAATTAAGCATAAAATTGCCAACCTATAAAAACTGTTTTTAAATTTTCAGAAAATGTTGGTAATAATTTACACAAGGGATATAACTACATGTTTTGGGGACCCATAACAGAATCATAAGGGCCCATTTACATTATTGCTTTGCTTTAAGGCATGCACTGCACATTACATGCATTGGGGAAATGCGGTCCCATGCTTTCTGGATGGTAACCCTTCTGACTGATGTTGAAGCCCAGTACAATGCTCTAATGTGAGTTGCTGTGTAGATCACTGCCAGAAATATTACAGACACAATTTTGTTGGGTTAGGCAGCCTATTCAAATGAATAATCTGC